TGTATAGATGTATATGTGTATGTACATTATAAAGTGATACAATTATGTACAAGTGTGTAGTATTACATTCAAATATATTATTTTAAAATAATCATTTTTCCTTAAAAATATATTTGAGTAGGTGATTTAGTGCCATCGTATAATATATACTGAAACTAAGAGCAGGATGCAGGCAGAACATGACCTAGCAAAAAAAAAAAATAATAAAAATATAATTATTATTTAAAAACTCATAATTTATTATCAATGGTAAAACCTTGTTAAATTGAAATATATTCTGTCACCACTGGCGAATGTCATGGAATCAAACTTGAACACGTCATGGGCATCGTGAAACGACAGGTTCAAGGTTACAGTAGTGGGCAATGACGATACGATCTGAATGAAGGACTGGTCGCTGTGGGGATAAAGAAGAGCGAAACCTGACAGCCCCATTGCATGTGTCATTACACAAATACACGTCGGAGAGTTTATAAAATAACTAGGATGTAACCGTGAGCAGGATTAATTTCTTCGGGTCAAAGTAATTCGAGAAAATACCCTAGCTGGTCCAAGTGTTAAAAAAGAGAAGAGTCAACTTGTCATTTTCTTTAGACAATAGTCCTACAGACAGACCTACACCCCACCCATCGGCCTTTAAACAATAACCTACACCCTACCTGCCAGCCTTTAAACAAAAGGCTTTACAGACAGACCTACAACGTACCTGCCGGCATTGAAACAATAGCCCTACAGAAATTCCTACACCAATCTTTATTGATCAATGTAATGGTCGCTTCTAAAAAAAAAAAAATTAAACCAGCTCAACCGTCACGCATGATGCTCGTTGCTAACTCGATACTATTGATATTAAACATATAAAACAGGTTGAGTCAGGGGAGGGCGGGTTGTGAAAAGGAAGCAGCCACACAAGAAGCAATATATATATATATTAGAGATGAAAGACAATTATTCTTTTTATGACTGAAATGCATTAAGCCTTGTAGGGCTAATGCGTTAAATGACCTGAGACCTGCTAACCACAAGTATTATATATTATAATTGAAAGTCCAGACGCAAGAAAACACACTCATACATGCATGTAATTATGCTTACTGGCACATTTCAAAATAGGCAAATTACTCTTTCTCCTTAAGACAACACAATTACAATCACTCCTTGTATTGAATATATTAGAAATGTACCAGCTCGTGGTGCAAGTGTGGCGAGTCTGCTTAAAAGGTAACGTCATCAAATCCATTAAGTTAATCATCTGGTAAAATTTGGGTAGAAAAAAATCCCCCCCCCCCTTTTTCCGGTTTTTTTTTAATGGCCGGAGACAGCAACAATAACCCCACCGAACTCTTAAAACTTTCATTGTAAAAAAATGGAAACAACACAGAATCCCAGTTATAAAATGCGCTTTGACGTGGACGGGACAACAGCCTAACTTGATTATTTAAAAAAAAAAAAAGTTTTTGACACTTCGTAGCCGACGACGCATGTCACTAACACTATAATCGTAATAATTATCTTACGTTAGGGATGCAGCGAAGTAGGAACGGCCCCAGAGGTCGACAGGAAGGGCCTTGTAGACCGCCAAAGAGTTGGTTCCGTCGTGGAGGAACACGGTCAGTCCGAACTCGTCGATGCCTTTCAAGATGAACGCGCTCGTGTCTTGTACATTTTTACTGAAGGAAAGAAAACCACCGACAACTTAATTTTAAAAAAAAAAATATTTTTAATTAATCAATTATTTTAATAGTGACAAAAAATTACTTAACATTTAGTTTCATTATTTGGTAAAAAGAAAAAAAAAAAAAGAAACAAAGACAAATAATAGCTCAAATAACGCCTGCATTTATGAATTTTTTTGTATCCCATAATGTTAAGTGAACATTAACCAAATTTCCAAATAATCACATTTTCTTATTTTTCTTTTAAGCATATAGATTTGATAAATCCTCTGATAAATAGGTGCACAGGTTTACGATGTAGTTACATGTCCTTAGGCTTCTTTCATTTGCCTAGTTTTGGTTTTCCAAAAGGTTATCATTATTATCTTTAAAATAAAAAAAAATAAAAAAAAAAAAAAAAAAACCAGTAACTACATTTTACATTTAAAGTTTGACGCTTTTCCAAGAAGTTTAAAAAGGGGAGTACACCCCCCCCCCCCCTTTTTTTTCTCCCACCAAACCAATAAAAAAAAATAAAAATATAAATTAAATAAATAATAATTGAGATTATTTTTATTTAAAAAATCGTAACATGCTATTGATAAAGCTCTGGTCTTTGCTAGATGTTTTTTTGTCTCTTTATTTTTTTAAACCATTTAGCACGACACACATTCTTGTCCAACAGCTTATTGATACATGTTTATAAAAAAAAAAATATATATAAACTTACAGGCAATAAGATTCGAGACTTATCACACTGGAAGAGCCTGCTGTCACATTGACGGTCGCTAAGGGCCTGGAGGACTGTGATCTTCCAACAAGGCATTTTACCTGTGGAGATTGTTTTCTAAAATAATAATATTGATTGATGGAAGTGTAGTTGATGACGTTTTCAATGAGTTTTATAAAAACCGTTTCATAATCTCTATCCCAAATCAATCTGTTAAATTCTTCTTACACTCAAACACTACTGCAACTGAAATCATCGTTGATGTTGGCTTCATTATTGTTTATCAATACGAGACCAATGTCGTCTAGTGCTGTCGTGTTAGTAAATGCAAAGGATTACCGCATCCTGACCAGCGTTTGAACGGTGCATTAGACCATCAGGTGTATTGAGTAAAATAGACAATTGGTAACACAAGGTAGGGAACATTTTTATTTTAGGTTCTTACCCACCTAAGGACGCAAGAAAATCGCGAAAGTATCGGCAAGAAGCCTGCTCCAACAAAAAATACAAAGACACATTTACACAATTGACAACAAAAAATAAAAAATAAAAAGAAAGAACCTTAACTGGAATTTTGTATTCATGAGAACGTCGAGACGAGTGCAGTATTAAACTGTGTTACTGTTTGTTTTTACTGTTCGCCGAAGAAGGCTTCTTGCCGACACGTTTTTTTTTAAAAATAGGGTTGTTCGTACCTTGTACTAATTGCTTCCCTTTAACTAACCACCAATTGCACTCTCTCTCTCTTCCCTACCACCCACTTATTAGCATTTAGTAGCACACTATCCTCTGTCTGAGAGTCTGACATTTCGTAGCTCACTAACCTCTGTCTGAGAGTCTGACATTTCGTAGCACACTAACCTCTGTCTGAGAGTCTGAGAAGCCGATGACGAGGAAGACGACGCTCTTACAGCTTTGTGTCATCAGCGGAACGGGTACGATGTAGAGACTGTTCATTGTGACGACAGCTGTCAGCGAAGAACTCAACGCAGGAGTGAAGACTGATGAAAAAACACGCGCGTTGGAGATAACATACAAAGAAGTTCAAAAATACTTTTCAAGTATGTGGAGGTACATTTTAAAAAAAAATAATAATTTCGTACCTTAAAATACACTTGTCAATAAAATAATGTGTAGTAAGAAATAATTGGAAAGGAATGCACACCTTATGGCTATGGAGTTATGCAAGGAAGAAAAAAAAATTGTGTGTTTAAACAAAATGCAGTGTTGTCTATTTAAAAAAAATATAAATAGGAGATGACTAGCTTTAAATTTGTTTTTAAAATTTCAATACTATTCTTGATTAATCATGTTAATACTGCTATAACATATGTGTTAAATGCATCAAACTATACTATGGGCATGCGCCATAATAAATATATAAGCCATACATACACTTTAAACATGCACATTTATTTTGCAATTACTTTTTCGAAAGCCGTGTTCACACAAATGTACGATTTTATTTAAATATTTTACTTTTTTTTACGTGTTGAGATTAATATCACATTCACGCAGCAGCAACTTAAAGCATGGAAAATATCCAAAATAAATTTTGAGGAAATAAGGATTTTATTCTTTTGTAGCTATTTAGGTCGTAGTTTTTAAATGTTTGAAATAAATTCGGTGCTTTTGGTGCGGTAGCGGGAAATTCTACAACAAACAGATTGTAGCAGTAATGATGCACAGGGTTAAGATGATAAATACGGCGAATAGTGAAAAGTAGTTTAATTTTGAGTATGGTAGATGTGTGCTAATTGCGAATGAATTTGGCTGTGAGACTAGAATAGCAGTTAAATAAGTTAGAAGAGGTTTGATTTTTACATTTTCACTAGATCTCTGAGAACAGTCTTACAACGGAATACTTGGCTCTTGTCAATTTGAGTATTTTTGAAGCCGACAGTCATATTTTTAAATTATATGAAAACATCCATCCATCCAACCCTGTGGCGCTACAGCCCGTGTAGGGCTTTGGACTGCCTCACAACATACTTCCACTCAGACCTAACTGATGCTTTTCTTTTTCCTGCGTGGATTCCCATCTTGTGTAGATCCCTCTTCCACATCATCCACCCATCTCAGCCTGGGTCTGCCTTTGAGCCGTGTTCCTCTGGGGTTATGTTCGAGTGACCTCTTCCATCCTCTGTCATTCGGCTATGTTTGTAAATGTCCTGCCCAGCTTAGTCTGCCTTTATTTTGGTATTCCGACTACTAGCGTGGGATCCTGATATTGACTATAAAATAGTATTACCGGTTGCTTCATATTCACCCACCATCCATATTCACATTACTTTTTTGTTTTATATTTCTTTTTTTTAAAACTCTAATGAACACTACGTTGGTGACTTGTCACATAACTTATTGCGTTACAGTATCTTAAAAGCACGCTGTTTATATATATCATGTAAAAAAAAAAAACAAAAAAAAAAAAAAAAAAAAAAAAAAAAAAAAATTATTTATATTCATCTTTATTTTAAAACTATGTTTATTACAAAGCTTACAAATATGATTATTATTTTTTTCTTTTTAAAACTACTTAAATGTATAACTAAAATTTAAAAAAAACAACAACTTAAAATTAACGCACACAATTCTAACAAAACAAACAAAAAACACAGCGTTTCGATTGTTTTATTGAAGCCATATTTATATAATCACAGAATACAGCTCAAAAGTTACGCGTTTAAAGTTAAGAAAAGAACGTGTTTTGGTATTGGGTTCGTTGTCTCTCAGTTTTGACCCCACTAATATCCACTACTTGACTCAAATCTACATCCATTCACTATTTTATGCTAGCCAGCTATTTTGTTTTCATTGACTTTCATTTAATCGAGAAAAGACACTAATCGCGAATTTTACGCTAAATTTATTTAGTGCATAGTAATTCTTTTCAAACAGGGTTGATCATATCCAGCAAAAAAAAATCCTAGATAACTTGATTTTTTGGAAAAGTCCACAATGTTTTGTCCCGACAGGCAAACTTGTATCAAATCTCCTTTCAAAAGATGAAAAATCCCAGCTAAAATAGAACAAAAGAAAGTCTTTACGTTTTATTTAACAGATTTATTCAACATTGTAACCACCACATCTCACCTGCTGGAAAGTATACTATAACTCACCGTAAGGCGCTGAAGACATTTGATACGAAAGCAAACGGAAATTTTAATTTTAATTTAAGGAATTATATAAAACAAATCTCGATTCAAAACTAATCCTATACCATAACAGACATAGCATCTAAAACTGAAGTTTTATCAGTAACTATGGTACACAGGTTTTGTCAGTAAATATTCTAAAAAAAGTTCTATCGGTAACTGTTCTACAGAATTTTCAAATAGTTACAAAAGTTCGTTTTACAAATTTAAAACTTAGTTTGATATGCCATGAAGTTATATATATATATGGATGTAGATAAACACATAACGTTTAATTTTATTTTAACATAACTAGCATTTAACGAATGAGTAAGATTATGTGAATAATCTTTGTTAACTATTCTATAATGTACCGGTAAATATTGATTCCTGGTTGCGTGTGCAGTTCGGACAACTGGTGTGCACCGACCTGAGTAACACCCCAGAGTACATGGGGCTGTTTGGACTGATCCGATGGACATAATGGAACCAGGTCTAGATAAAGTCATATAACAAAACAATGATTACAAATGAACCAAAAAAATTAGTAAAGACATTTCTGATTATATTTGTAATTGTTTGAAAATGAACTTTTTAAAGGAAAAAAATCCACCAAAAAAATCAAATGTTATGTGAAATTGACGTGATTAAAAATATTAAGTAAAACGAGAAAGGGTAATTATACTATTTACATATTGTTGAAAACTTGAAGAAGGGTTTTCTGTGTTGAAATGGATGCTGCTGTAGACGTAGTAAAGGCCTGTGGATGATACACGTTAGGAAGATACAATGTCTTAAAGAGTCTTCGCTACCCTCATTAAACTATAATTGCTTCAAAATTAAAATGCGTTGATGACCAATGATGAAGTTTAAGTCGACTGAATTTCAGCCCACAAATAGATCGTAACACGACTTTTATATTAACCTAGCTTGAAAAAATTGCTTGTAAAGAAATGATTTGGACGGAGAGTGATGGAGGAGGATAAGATTTTAAAGAGAAGGTGACGAGGGGGGATATGTTAAAGTTACATAAATAATTTAAACCTTGTACGTGTGATCTTGTACTTAAAATAAAACAATATGTGGCTGTACCTGTGTGTTCTATTTTGATGCCATTTGTTTGCACGGTTGCTCCCCTTACATGCTCGTTTTTGGTTACATCATAAATGGAATTTAAGTTTGTAGTGATGTGATCTTTTGTAGTGAAGTACGGTTCTGAAATAGAGTTATCCAGATTTACGCAACAATAATAAATAAATAATAATAAAGTTCATTTCAAAAACACGCTTCATCCCCAAAAGCTCGAAGCGCGGTACAAAGTCAACAAAAAACAAATCTATAATTTACCACATTTAAAACAAACGCAACACAGCCATTATGCATTAACTTTTTTGAAGGGCATCAGCATTATTTCATAAGACAGTGTTACCATGGGGCAGCCTGAATGAAAATGAAATTATCTAAACGGCAAAAAGAAAAGTGCCACAAAATTAAAGAAAAGGAATATGCGGGGTAGATTCCCGACCCCTAAGATCGCTCCATCAGATTTGCCCTTCGACCGAAATCGTTTTACTCGGCCGAGGCATGAAGCGCGGGTTGATGGACGAGGAGGACTCGTTAAAATTGCATCGATTTCATGGAGATCTAATGAAAAGTCGTATATGGGTTAACTGCAGGTACATTCCTTACACCTGTTTATACTATTTTGTACCAACCTTGGGTGTGTTATGTTCCAGGAATCAACGGAGGCGGTTTGAGAAATTTGTGAACAGATGCCGGAGTGAAATTAATTCTTGGCGTTACAAGTTGATCTGATCTTGGGATAATAAAAAACACAATTAAAAAAAAGTATCATTTTATATGTATACAGAAAACTGTGATTTCCCTTAAAATGACAAAATACATGTTTGGAACCAACAGCCTGGGATCACAGCGAAACAAACAGCCTCGGATCACAGCGAAACAAACAGCCTGGGATCACATTGAACCAACAGCCTGGGATCACAGCGAAACAAGCAGCCTGGGATCACATTGAAGTATAAACTTCCTAACTCTTTGGTTTGGTATATTTTTTCGTACATTACAAAAAAAAATTCTCAAAGAAGTATCTACATTTCTATTTACTCACCGTGTTTATGTCTGTCTGACCACTTATCTATAACCTATTGAAATAAGAGGCAAAATGTGGAAATTAAAACTTTGAAAACTAAACGACAAACTCACTATTGTTAAACATACTTAATAACATTAAACAGTAGTTATTTAAATGTTGAAACTTTTTTCAACACTTATCATCCGTTACATTAAAACAAGAACAAAAATACATGCACTTACAAACAACTTGAGCAAACGTTTGATGAAATAGCATCTGATAAATGATTAACTTACATCATTGAGTACATGGGATAATTTTTTTAAATTTTCAAGACACGAATTTCGAAGGTCACGGTTGAAATCTGTCAGTGGTTTCTCTTCAAATGTACCGCAGGTACGCCCTCCGACATGGGTCGTCTTGAAGAAAAAGTAGAAACAAATAAAGTTTTAAACATAGCAATTTGTTTTTTTATTCTTTGTTTTGTTTATCCAAATGAACTAGAAATTGTTGTTCATTACATTGTACATATTCAATTTCAGCACGTAGATACATGTTCAAATCATGAACAACTAGTGCCGTTTGAACATAAAACTTCTCAAGTATTAATCCAGCGTACAATTCAGGCACCATCAGCTCATTCCAAGAACCTCGCACGAACCTCATTAAATTCCCCCCCCCCCCCCCCCCCCCCCCACCCCCCCCTTTTTTTTAAAAATTTTTTTTTTTTGCATGCGTAAGAAATATTTATTAAGTATGTGCGATATATACGTCGGTCTTAAAGAGACTAAGTGATGTAAAGGCGGGTAGTTCGAAACACAACACATTGGTATTCGAAAGGGTGTCAATAAATTATCTGTAGACCCCCTTTGTATGTTTTTTGTAATGTGTATGTGGGGGAGGGTATTAAGCGATAAAAGGAAAGATATGGTTTCGAGGGCGTTTTTTTAGTGTGTGTGAGTGGGGAAGGGGGGCTGGGCACACTTATCAGGTTCATTTTTTGAGAGGTGCTTAGATTGAGGTTGTAGAGCAAACGAAAAGTGTGGAATTTGTTGACTGATGTTTAGTTGGAATTTTTTAAATAATGATTTTTAAGTATCCCCCCCCCCCGTATTTAAGTAACGTTTTAGGCGTACAATGAAGTACGAAATAGCAAAATCTATTAATTTTATGTAAAATTTTCTTTAGCAATAAACTTTTTTGTCTAATTCAATAATTCCCTTTTTTAACCTTTTTTATTTTAGGGAAGGGGGGCTGGGCACACTTATCAGGTTCATTTTTTGGGAGGTGCTTAGATTGAGGTTGTAGAGCAAACGAAAAGTGTGGAATTTGTTGACTGATGTTTAGTTGGAATTTTTTAAATAATGATTTTTAAGTATCCCCCCCCCCCCGTATTTAAGTAACGTTTTAGGCGTACAATGAAGTACGAAATAGCAAAATCTATTAATTTTATGTAAAATTTTCTTTAGCAATAAACTTTTTGGGCGAATTCAATAATTCCCTTTTTTAACCTTTTTTATTTTGCAAAACGGTTTGAATTATAGGCGATATGAACAGCTGTTGGTTTAAATATATATTTTAAAAATAAAAATCAAAACGTAGCAATAGGAATTCATTTTACTTTACATTTCGTTTAGATCTAAGCCCTCCCTGGCTAGAAATGGTCAAATTAGCAATTAGAACAGCAGCAGAAAGTAGCAAGGCCAAAACTGAAAGGAACAACAAGCATCTGAAAAGAAAGACAGGAAATAATTTTAAAAAACAAAATAAACACTATTATTTTATTAAATATGACCCACGGCTTTAAAGAAATAAAACCAGAGTTGAAAATCATATTAAAATGAAACTAAATTATTTTTTACACAAAGGTGGAGTTCATGAGTAATGAGATTTTAATGGAGGTGTAAAAAGAAACAGAAATCATCATGATTGCATTTCATATGGGGGACTCAATGAGTATCGCTGAACTTCTTATCAATAGAAGGAAATGACGGTCTGGTCAAATGTTTTAGTGTTGGCTTTGCCCCAAAATAAATCATGATGGCATCGTAGCATAGACGAACATAGACGCTTTGAAGATACTTAAAAGATTTACCTAATTAATCCCATGACACATCTGTAATACATTTCTCAAAGTAGAGGGTGGGTCATATTATATTTTTTTCGTTATGACATAAATTTTCGTATCAATTTTCCAATATTATAATTAAATTAACGCTTTCTATAAAGATTTATAAAGTAATTATTTTATTTTAAAAACATTATTTAAAAGGTAAAAACATACCTAGTTCCCACAAACACAAGACTCGAGGCTCACACCGACACGGGTCATTGACGTCTGAGAGTTTAACTTTAGACTTGGTTCCAACGGAGTAGGCGTCATCTTGTGATCTACAAATCTTGTTGTAAAATTAGGGAAATGTAACGTAATAACCATTAAAAAATAATAAATGAATAAAATCAAGTTAGTTTTTGTAGTTGATATCTCCTTCTATCTATCTTACTAATAGCTATCATTCAGCCGACTACGTGTCCATATATTTTTTCCGTCACTCTGTCTACCCGTCTGTCAGTCCTTTTACTTTACTTTATAAAATCATTTTTAATATATATGTCAATGCTTCCTTATATAATTTGATAAATAAAATGGAAAAAAAGAGAAAAAAGAAGAATATTACCAGAGTTTAATGTCACACAGTACACAGCAGTAAGAAGTCAGACGACTAAACTATTCTAATGTTCGCCTAAACACTACTAAAAGATATGTTACATACGTCTTATAACTCTGACAATGTAACCTTATAAATATCACTGACCCATTGTAGCTCAAATATTTAGTGCTGACGAAATTATCTGACTCAAGCATAGTGTAAATGATTCATAAAATCTGGTTTCAAGACCAGAGTACAAGAGTCTATCTATCTATCTATCTATCTATCTATCTATCTATCTATCTATCTATCTATCTATCTATCTATCTATCTATCTATCTATCTATCTATCTATCTATCTATCTATCTATCTATCTATCTATCTATCT